ATGAGGTAGCATAAAATGCCATAGTGAGATAGTGGTACGTGTGCAGAAACCTATAAAATTCTAACAGGACTAGACAACAGAGAGGATGTTTCCAACAACCGAAGAGTCTAGAACCAGGGGTCACAGTCTAAAAATAAGGGGCAAGCCATTCAGGACTGAGATGAGGAAGAATTTCTTCGCTCAGAGAGTTGTGAACCTGTGGAATTCTCTCCCACAGGAAGTTGTTGGGGCCAGTTCATTAGATATATTCAAGATGGAGCTGGATGTGATCCCTCGGGCTAAAGGGTTCAAGGGGTACGGAGAGAAAGTGGAAGTCGGGTACTGAAATTGCGTGATCAGCCATGGTTATTTGAATGGTGGTGCAGGCTCGAAGGGCCGAATGGCCCACTCTTGCACCTATTTTCTACTTAGCCCTTGAATGCATCACGACTATTCTCCATTACTAGTCCAAGTTCCACATTCTCACACTTTCTGAGCAAAGATGTTTCTCGTGTCTTACTTAATGGATTGATTTGTGACTGTTTTCCATTCAAGGTCAACTGGAATCATCTTCTCTACTTCTAATCTATCGAGTCTTTTATAACTTTAATAGTCCCCCTTGGATGTTGGGTCTGTAGTCTATACCTCCAGCATAACTGCGTGACCCAAGCCAACTCTTTCAATAGGACTCGCTTCCCTCTTCCTTAATGAATTGACAGATAGACAAGGAGCTTACCATGTGATCTTTGGCAAGAGAGCACTGTTATGGACCAGACCAGACCCCCTCAAAATATCTTAAGAATGTAGCCTAGATCCTAACATTTTCTTATTTTAAAGGCAAATCTGTAAGGTGTCAGTTCCAAGTGCAATATCACTGGTCAAACTCCTCGACGTTAAGCAAAACACAATTTATTTAAACATTGCAGTTAAAATACAACCAAAGAAAGAGGAATTTGGAGTAACTTAACTCTATTGGAAAATATAACAGAATAATAAATACAGTAACTATTACTAATTAACTGTTCCACTATAGTAACATCCCACAAGCACACCCCTTGGCGAAAAGGAAAATTCAGACACAGATTCTCAAATGCAGTTCTCCAATCCAGGAGGAAAAAACATCAAGAGAAAATTCAGTAAGAGTAGAAACCAGGAGGCATTCACTGAAGCTTCCAATTCTGTTGAGGCCTTAATAGCTTCTGATGATAAAACCAAAACCCAGAAATCCTAATCTGTGAAAACTGGCCACACCCATTCAGGCTGTTTAAAAAAATGCAAGGCCTCCCAAGCTGTTTACTCAAGCGGTCTTAACTAGCTAGGTTGGTACCTCTGCCTTACAACCTCTCTTTAAAACAAAACCAGGACAAGATAACCTCTTAATGTTACAGCATTGTCACAACACTTAGCTGGGGCGACCGATGTAAAAGTGGCTATTACTTCCAGCATCTATCCCTGATATTTCACTGCTGCTATAGTTCAGTGCTGAGGAACTGGAATGGTTCTCACCAGAGTGCTATTGTGATGGTCAGCATGTGCTTTTATCTCGATCAGCTCATTTAGAAAATGATCCACAGGTCCTAGATTAGATTAGGAGTGGTGTATATGCAGAAGCCCTGCTGAGGCTGAGATATTGTCATTTGGATGCCATTTAAGGGATTACGCAGCTGACGATTCCTGAGTGTGGATTGTCGGAAAAAAAGATCATGTACACTCAAGAGACAACAAGGCGCAGGGCTGGACGAACACAGCAGGTCAAGCAGCATCATAGGAGCAGAAAGGCTGACGTTTCGGGCCTAGACCCTACACTCAAGCTGCATTTCAACTCCTCATGCTCAAAGATAATCACAGCAAAATTTACTAAGTTTCTATGTAACACACTGAGTTGGGGGTCGGTTAACTCAGTTGGCTGGTTTTCAACGTAGAATAACATCACCAGCATGGGGTCAATTCTTGTACTGGCTGGGGTCACCATGAAGGACTAATCACATGACCCTGCTGCAGGAGAGAACTCAATATTGGTTTGAGAGGTTTGTATTCACAAACATAGGCAGCCAATGATTTATTGCAATTTTCTGGTAGTTTATTGGGAGGCAGCAGGTTAGATATGATGCATTATTGCAAAGAAAGGAAAAGGTACAGATGAGAACACTTTGCTAATCCTGGAGCTATTCTGCAGAATAGAGGTATAGAAGCAGTGTGCTCCCACATCCCAGTGGTCCTACAACCTTTTGCAGTGATCTCTGTACCAACAGTCTGTTCTAAAAAAAAAACAAAGAACTGCATATGCTGGAAATCAGAAATGAAAACAGAAATTGCTGGGAAAACTCAGCAGGTCTGGCAGCATCTGTAAAGAGAAAGCAGGGTTAATGTTTCAGGGCCAGTGACCCTTCTTCAGAGCATTCTGATGAAGGGGCACTGGACCCGATACTTTAACTCTGCTTTCTCTCCACAGATGCTGCCAGACTGGTTGAGTTTTCCCAGCAATTTCTGTTTTAGACTTTGCTCTTCCCTTGGCTGATGTAAGGGTGCTCTTGGTCAATCTCCAAGCAGATGGTGCGGCTCATCTTCCTGGGTCTTCTTGTCCCTTCCTCCCCTCCTGTGCCTGTTAATATTCCTTATGTTTGAGGGTGAGCCATCAATGCTATATCAGTCATCTTTCTTGACCAATGGTTATGGGACAGCTCTTATGATGTCAGATGGCCATTGCCCCCTTGCCCGCTAATACCTGAGGGTTAGTTTACTGTTCTTTCTAACAACAAAACCTTCTTATTTTTGAAAACAACACACTGATAATCTGGTACATTTGGAGCCAGATGATAAATATTTGGTGCATCACAACGTCTGTGAAACTCTTTCCTTTTGTTTTCCCCTGCTAGAATTTTGGAAAGCTAATTACTATTTTAAATAGCTATTAAATGAAATTGCATGCTGCACAGTAAATAGTAGTGAAATTGATTTTTTAAGGGACCCCAATATCACGCATTTGTGCCCCACACTTGTGTAATGAGCCTGTTTGAAAGTGGGGTGGGGGAGTTTCTAACTCTCTGCAGTCTGGGGTCCATATCTTGCTCAGCGACTAAAGACTCTCACGGCAAAGGAGGGTGGGGAGGTAGTGGATTATGTGAGCTATTTGCCTGCTTGAACAAGGTCCTCAGATCCCATGTTGTCAAATGGAAATTGTCATCCCCTTGCAATTCAAAAGTCACAGTTGGATGCCTTCATGTGCAACCCTCTGGCTAAAGGTAGCCTTTCTGAGGTTATGATATCTCTGCATGGAATTCAATAAAGACACTCCTTCTGAATTGTAGCATTGGAATGCTGCCAGGCATGTTACAATGCAATCAGGCCAGAAGAAAATTGGACTTATCCTGTTGCTTATAACCTTCTTCCAATGTAACATATTTTTCTACTTTGCAGGCTTCAGAGCTCAGATCTTTCTTTTCCCCAAAGCGCTTGCAAAAAAAATAGAGTGAACAGTCTAAGCAATAAGACAAGAGGTTCCCAGCCATTGACCTATTTCTGAGCAGAGAGGCAGCAGAGTTTAATGGCAATATTGCAGAGTTCTGTGAAATAGTCACAGAAACTGATCTCAATGATTTATGGCAACTGGGTTTCCATTACCTCCTTGCAAAGTCCTTTGAATGCAAAATTGGATTTGGAGAGAGAGAAAAAAAAAGGTTCCTTTGAAAGAAAGAGGATTTAAGCAGTAAAATGTGCATTCTAAAATCATCCAGCCCAATGTTAACTATGTCACTCTGTTTGTCTGCAGTAAGGTCTGAGCACATTCTTAGATTTTTGCACATTACTTTCTCCTTAACTCTTTATAGGTCAAACACCAGAATAACTTAAAAGGAAATGATTTACAACTTCCTCGCAACACGATAGCTTGCCTTTTCAAAAGAGTTGGTTTCTCAAATTTAAGCACAGATTTGTTAGCATTAGAGTCATAGAGATGTACAGCATAGAAATAGACCCCTTGGTCCAACTTGTCCATGCAGACCTGATAACCTAAATTAATCTAGTCCTTTTTGCCAGCATTTCACCCATATCCCTCTAAACCCTTTCTATTCATCTACCCATCCAAATGCCTTTTAAATGTTGTAATTGTACCAGCCTCCACCACTTCCTCTGGCAGCTCATTCCATACACGCATCACCCTCTGCATGAAAAGGTTGCCCCTTAGATTCCTTTAAAATCTTTCCCCTCTCGCCATAAACCTATGTTCTCTAGTTTTGGACTCCCCTACCCTTGGGAAAAGATTTTGGCTATTCATCATGCCCTTTGTGGTTTTATAAACCTCTATAAGGTCACCCCTCAGCCTCCAATGCTCCAGGGAAAATAGCCCCAGCCTTTTCAGCTTCTCCCACTAGTCCAAACTCTCCAATGGTAATTTTTTCATTAGGCATAAAGACTTAAGGAAACAAGGTAAATAAATTGAATAAAGTTGCAGGTCAGCTGGATGGCAAAAGGATCCCAAGAGGATGAAGGACTCCTGGTGCATCATTGGTGCCACATTGTAGAAGCTATCTTTTCCTCCAATTTTCAACAGCAAAACACAGTCTAAAGCAAGCTGACACATATTAAAATGAAGCTAAAAATGTTTTTTATTTGGTGTTCAGCAGTGGTGTTAAAAGTGAGAGCACAGCTTCAGGTTTTGACCAACTGGTAGTGTTAGCATTAACTACATTTGAACATGTTGCTGGAAGTTTTGGCTGCTTTCCAGTTTGCTCGGGTCACTCATCAGGTGCCAGAATCAGTCATAGAGTCATTCACATGGAAACAGACCCTTCGGTCCAACCAGTCCATGCCAAACATAATCCCAAACTAAACTGGTCCCACCTGCCTGCTGTTGACCCATATCCCTCCAAACCTTTCCTATTCACGCACTCATCCAAATGTCTTTTAAATGTTGTTATTGTGCCCACATTCACCACTCCCTCAGGATGTTCATTCCACATGCATACCACCCTCTGTGTAAAAAATTTGCCCCTCATGTCTTTTTTTAATCTTTCTCCTCTCACCTTAAAAATGTGCCACCTAGTCTTGAAATTCCTCCACCCTAGAGAAAAGACAAATACCATTTTAAAATTTAGTAAGTAAAAGAACAAGAGGGTTAAGTCATTTCGCTCCTCAATCCTAGCCCGCCTTTCAGTAAAATTGTGGTTGATTCTGAATCTCACCTCCATGTTCCCAGTAAATTTCCAGATGCCTTGATTCCATTTGAGTTTGTGAATCTGTTGATCTGGATCTTGTGAAGTCAGTATCCAGAATGCTGTGTATTTCCTCTGGGGAATTTTGATGGATCAATACACTTAGTAAGCAAACGTTGGTTCTCCAAGACTTGCTATCCATTAAGTGCCAAAACCATTCATCTCTATTTCAAGTTTTCCAAGAAGTGTAAAAATTTCCATAGCTCTCATTAGGTCTGCCAGCTCATAAAATTATCGCTCATAAATTTAAATAGGCTTACTGCCCATACTGCTAGAGATGATCATAAATGTCTTTCTTCATATTTCCCGAGTATTGACAGCTCTGTTAGCCCTGACTAATTTTTCTGGATCCCAACTCATTATTATCTTCTTAACTTCTGGGGTTTGTAGAGTTTATAAATGGATAGATAATGAAGCCATTTAGGATTTTCTAAAAAGAATTGGATAAAATACTTGAAGAGGGAAACATGTTTGAGGCCTATGGGGAAAGAGCAGGCAATGTGGGACTAATTGCATAGGACTATCACACGAGCTTGATGGACTGAATGGCCTCATGCCATGCTTCATATTCAAGAGAAGAATTTTAAACTTCAATATATGCTGGTTGGGAGTAGGACAAAAGTGAAAGAATTTAAATATTAAGTCCAACCCCAATTCACCTACTTCTGATATCCATGAGATAATTGACCTTACAGCACTGCTTGTAGGCCAAGAGGAGCAGAATGCCTTCTCCCACCCCTTCCTGACATTCAATGGCCAAATCCCTAAATGCCCTTCCCAAGATATACAATCCCTCCATCCGAGTTTCCTGTCTGGAAATCCTCCCAATGCTCTCGCTCGCTTCAGGCCCTTGAGTCTAGAGCTGCCTGTAGCTGAAGAAGAAGATGCACACATGCCAGATTTGGTGAGTATGCAATGGTACAAAGACAAGATGGAACGGAAGCCATCTTGCTCACCTTTGCTGCCAAAAGGGTTCATTTCCATTGATTGCCCAAAAATCAGACTCACATGACCAGCACCATGTGACTTTAACCATGGGGGTGTGAGAGGACTGAGGCAAAAGATGCCAGGCATGTGGCAATCACTTTCTGTTGGACTAACCTTCTACAATTAGTTGGTGAATCAAGCAGCCGGTCATGCCAAGCAAGACCAGACGATCATTGAGGGCCTGGTCATGTGGTGCTGAACCATGTTTGCTCAGATTCAATCCCTGATTTCTGTTCAGATAGATGCAGGGTCAGTAGGATTTGATTGGACATTCCTAAACTCAATGACCTTAACTGAGGCCTGCACTGTTTGGGCACATGGCAGAGAGATTAGGCTGAGTTACAAGTGAACTGATGGAAAAGTGGTCATGACACTAGGTTAGTAATCCTGAACCGAGGCTGGGGTTGTGGGCTCATATCCCACCATGACAGATAATTAAAATCTGGAATAAAAAACTAACTTAACGTTGGCCATCATCAATTGTTGTAGAGATAAACCTGCTTTGCTAAACTAAGGGATTTGGGCCAAAGGCAGCTACTTAGAGTTAGGCCACAGGTCAGCCATGATCTCATTGAATGGTAGAACAAACTTGAGGGGCGGAATTGCCTACTCCTGTTTCTATGTTCCTATATCATACAGGGAAGTAAATCTTCCATTCTTACCTGGTCTGGTGTACATGTGACTCCAGAATCAGGCTAATTACCATAGTCAACACTCGCTTTAGGAAGGAATTGGGCTAGTTCTGACTGGGGCAGTGATCATATCATATAAAAGGCATATCGTATCTTCATAAATGACACGTGGACGGGTTTGATGTTCCAAAGGGTTTAGGGAGGAATTTTACCAAATATTTTCTTTCCCTCATTGACCCTGATGTTTCTTTTTTGTTTTGAAATGTTTGCCCCATTCTGTGGAAAGACCATTTGAACTTAGCCTCCCTGTTGACTTCACATTGTGTCAGTACGAACTCTGAGTCATTGCAGATGAACTCAACGTGATGGTCTCCAGGGAATTAGTGTAATTGCTTCTGTGTACAACGTACAGTGTCAACTCTTCAGAACAACAAGCTGTGGTCAGCTTGGACACATTGTGATTGCATCTCCGTGGATAACCATACATGGAGGGAGACTGAGACAGAAACAGATCAACCCTCTGAATCCCAAAGGAACAATGAACATGACAAATAGCATAAAAGTTACAGTGCCCAATGCAGAATGATTGCTGTTTAATATTAGAGGGGTGTGTAAAAGCAGCAAAAATGATAAAAACAAAACACACCAAGAGATGCATATAAAAAACAGAAAGTGTTGGAAATTCTCAATAGCATTTGTGAAGAGAGAAAAAGCGTTAACATTTTGAGTACGCCTTTTAGGACAGTGATGAAGCGAATATTTTTCTCTCTGGGCAACTTTGCGCAACTTTGGAACTCTGCCTCAGAAGTCGAGCATTGAGTATTGTTTAAGGCAGCAGCAGCTAACTTCTTGTTTGGCAAGGAAGGTTGTCGGATATAGTTGGGAATGTGGGATTTGGAGCACAAACAAATCAACCACAATCTTATAGAACAGTGGAAGAGATTTGATTAACTGAATGCTCTACATCTGCTCCAGTTTCCTATGAGCCAAATGGGAATCTTTTTTGGAACTGAAGGGAAGTAAAATGGTATAAAATCAGAAATTGTTGGAAAAGCTCAGCAAGACTTGCTGTGGAGAGAAATCAGAGTTAACGTTTCAGGTTGAGTGTCCCTTCCTCAGAACAGAAAGTAAGAAGGTGATTGGTTTTACGCTAGCAAAGGGGAGAATGAGAGGAAACACAAAAGGGAAGATCTCAGATAGTGTAGAGGCTGGGAACAAGGTAAAGAAAAGTCAAACGCAGAGAATGCTGGAAAAACTCAGCAGGTCTGGTAACATCTGGAGAGAGAGAGAGGCAGACAGAGTTAACATTTCAAGTCCAATATGACTCTTCTTCAGAACTCTTCTTCAGTACGAGTCCCCAGAGATCTGGTTCGAACTGTTAACTGTTTCCCTGTCTCCACAGATGCTGCCAGACCTGCTGAGTTTCTCCAGCACTCTCTGTTTTTACTTCAGATTTCCAGCATCTGCGGTATTCTCCTTTCATTTGGCTAATAATAGCAGTGCCCAGAGTGTAATCAGTGTTAATTCATGCAACAAAGAATTGTTTCTGTCCTAATTTGATTTAACATTCTGATTTACCTGAACTGGAATGGTGAGTATATGCACGAAGGCAGCTAAAACGTCCCAGATATTTGCCAACTAGTTGCGCACACTGTATCATAATCCCTAATATCATGGTAGCTGCTGTTCATAAACCAACATAACTGGTACAACCAACCACTACCTTCACAAGTTATATTAACATCTCGTCATTATTGGTATGATGTGCTTAAACTAGATTCCCCCAGGAGTCTGTAAAATGAAAAATTCTCACCTTTCTCAGTTTACCTCCCTTTAAGGATTAGTTTCGCCACCTTTAAGTCTTAACATTTCCCGTTTCACCTTTGGGTCTTAATTTTTGATTGACAAGAAAGTCAAGGGTTATGGTGCACATACAGGAAAGTTTAGTTAAGCTCATAATCAGAGGAGTCCTGAACTTATTGAATAGTAGATCTGGCTTGATGAACCAAATAGTCTAGTTTTGCTGCTAAGTCTTATGATCTTATGTCCCTAGATGACTTTTGCCCTCATTAATCTGGAAATACTGTAGTCTACAGTAGTTTTCAACTGTTGCAAACTCTGTTCAATAAATACAGCATAAACCACGAATAGAATGATGTGGTGCGTAGACCAATTGACCCATTGGGAAAGCATGTTCCATTAATCAAGTATGTTCCTGTGTATTTGGTAACTGGGAAGCGCCGAAAGTGATTAACAAAAAGTAGATTTAAAACATTTTAAATGCGTGATAATTTTCTTTGCTGCAAGCAGAAGGCAGCCACTCTCTGGAGGAAAATTAATGATGGTAACTTGTTCTAACCAATCCCTTTTATTTTTATTTTAAAATAGTTGAAACAAGCATCAGCAATGATAAATATTGAGTAATGTAAATAGTTCAACCAGAGTCTGTCTGTTATTTTTTCTTGCAAAGGTAGAATCAAGAATTGTGTAAAGTGTGACTCAGGATAAAATTGTTCCTTTCAATCTGATAGCTGGATTTGTTGACTTTAAGTAGAAATATATCAGTTGCGGTTTAAACGTAAATGTGCTGGTTTGAAAGACATGCTTTTTTTCAGAGATAGATCTGATAAAGTAAAACATTTGCATTCAATATTAATGACTAGTCAAACTGGTATTCTATTTACTTTCTACACCCAGTAAGACTGCACTTGCACTGACTTACAAAGTATAAGGAAGAAAATTAATTTATTAACACCTTACATTGCATTTTCTCTTTCTCTTGAGGTTCATGTTCGTTTTCATGCAGATTCCAGTGTTGGAGGAGATATTTTGAATTGTTTGCTGAGGATTAAAGGAAGTGTTTTCATGTCCACAGAAATTCTTTCTTGAGCTCCTTATACACCCAAGTGTAAAGCATCATTATAATATTGACTAAGAGGGCGAGATAGCTTTGGAGCTGTTACAGATGCTGTTTCTTAAGAGTTCAAAGTTCTGTATTTTGGCCTGAAATTTGTTTATTGAGAAAAATCTATTCTCAGATGGAGGTCCTGCCATGCTGTCATGTGTTGCAAAACTCCCATTTCCCATCAACTCATTTTTAATTGATAAAAATGTCAGTGTTTTACTGTGTTGTAGCTAGAATCAACCAGATACCATTCAGTTCCTCTTGTGTTCACCCTAAGGTGTGTTCATTGGTATGCTCTGGTGATCTCATGCTCCAAAGGGACTTATAAACAATTATTTTGACCATACTTGAATTCTTTCACAATGCAAGTTAGTTTTTTGGTTGACAAGGGATTTGAGGTTTGTGGGAGTTAGAAAGGAAAGTGGAACTTGGGTCATAACCAGGCCAGCCATGATTTTATTGAATGGCAGCGCAGGCTCGAAAGGCTGAAAGGTTTAATCTAGCTCTTAACTCCTATGTTACATAGGCCTGAGCTCCTGCAATGAATGAAAAACATGTTTAACAAGATCTCTTTCTGACCTGGGAGCTGAATATGAACAATCCCATAGGGCTACTTTAAAGAACCATAAAGTCCTCCCCAGTGTTTTAGCCAATATTTATTCCACAATCACCATCAATAAAACAGATTATCTGGCTATTATTACACTGATGTTTGTGGGAGCTTGCTGTGTACAAAATTGCTTCCTTCATGACTCCACTCAAAGGCTATACTGACAGTTGATCACATTGGAAAAAGATCGTGAAAGGCTCAATATGAAATTTAGGGCTTTATTTCTCTCATTGTCAAATTGATTTTTCAGGTTAAAACAACAAATCACATTTATTTGCCCAATTTTAAATTACACAGAAGCAGAAAGGAATGTAGCATTCTAAACACCAATGCAGTGGCCCATTACTTTAACCTGCCTTAAAGATTCCAAATTATTTGAAATCTTAAGGCCCATTTCAAAATCTTTCATTTGCTCTTTGATGATGAAACATGAGATGTTTCTAAGCATGAAATAGCACCTCACCACTGAGATTTGAAAGACAGGAGGAAGCACACAGCATGATGGGAAAATTGTGTATACGTCCCCATGTAGACATTTTGCAAACTATTTCTTCCCCCTTTGCTTCTGAAAATCATTTTCCAACAATTTTCACTCACAGGTATGTGGAATGCGTATGGTGGAATCAAATGTACTTGTGATTTTCCAAAGGGAATTGGTTAAATACCTAAAGTAGCGAAAGAATTGTAACCAAATGGAGAAAAAGCGACACAATTGGGAGTAACTGGATTACCCTTCAAAAGAGCCAGTGCAGATCCAATGGACTGAATGGCCTATTTCTGCGCTGTCCTATTCTACAATTATATGGTTACGCGTCTCAAGTTGAATGAGTTGCATTGTCTTGTATCAACTTACCTGAATATGAAATAGTTTGGTCAACAAGAGCCAGAAACCACAAGCTTTAAATACTTCATTGTTTCAAACGCAACAGAGTATGTCTGTAACAATAACTTCCTCCCAGGAGACTGGTTGGTTGCTTCTCCTGACAAATTTATGTATTGTACTCTGTCCCTCAGACTGAAGTTAAAAAGAATTCATTTCGAAAAGTATCTCAGGTTCATGCTGAATTCACAATGTACTGATCTATCTTAAATCTAACGTTTCAGATGTTGTTTACACAGGTTTTTGAACAAAGGAGAACCTGGTCTTGAAAGAGGAAAATATTTACATTCTTTCTGAAGCCGAGTCAAATTAAAAAAAAGACTTGCATTTCCGTAGCCCCTTTCACCACCTCAGAAAGTCCCAAAAGCATTTTACAGCCAATTGAATAATTTTGGAAGTGTAGTCACTGTTATAATGTGGGAAACACAACAGGCAATTTGCGCACAGCAATCTCCGTAAATGGCATCATGATAATGAGCATTGAGATGACTATTTTGATGTACATATTAGTCAGGACACTGGGAATAATTACTCTGCTGTTATTCAAAATACGTACTTTATCTGAGAGACTGGGCACTGACTTGGTTCAACAGCTCAATGGAAAATCAGCCCTTCCAGCAATGCTGCACTCCCTCAGTGCTGTGTTGGACTGTCAGTCGATATTTCTGTCAGAGTGGAACTTAAACAAACAGCCCTGAGCTCAAAGGCTCAGGTCCTGTCCACTAAGCCATAGTGAACCCATTACTAATGTGCAGATAACGAGGTGGTGATTTGGCACTGAATGGTAAGACTTTAACTGATGATCACTACACAAGCACTGCCTGCAGTGACACTCCCATTTATGCACTGCTGCAAAAAGGTAACATTTCATTGAAACTTTTCGTCTTGTCAGACTTCTTTACTCCTGTACTCTTGCACTGAAGGCCAATATACCATTTGCCTTCCTATCTGCTTACTGCACCCACATACTTGCTTTCAGAGTGACACCCAGGTCCCTTTATACTTCAATATTTCCCAGTCTACAACCATGTGAACTATACAATTGCCATTCTGTTTTTCCCACTAAAGTGGACACCTCACACTTATCCACGTTATACTATATCTGCCATACTCAGTTAACATGTCAAAACCACCCTAAATCCTCTTCATTCCCTCTTCCTCACTCACCATCCCCCAAGCTTTGCATTGCCTCAAATTTGGAAATGTCACTTTTGATTTCCTCACCCAAATTGCTGATGTATGTTTTGAGTAACCAGGGCTCAAGCACTAATCCATACGGACTCCACTCAAAACTGCCTTCCACTACAAAAAAGACCAATTTATTATTACTCTCTGTTTCCTGTCTGCTAACCAATTCTCAATCCAAGCCAGTGTATTACCCCCAATCCTTTGATTTCGCACAATAACTTCTTAAGTGGGGCTTTATCAAAAGCTTTCTAAAAATCCAAATACACCACATCCACTGATTCTACCTCATCTATTCTACAGGTTACATCCTCAAAAACAGCTCCACTAGGCCTGTCAAGCAGGATTTCCTTTTCATGAACACATGCTGATTTTGTACCCTCCTGTTGATGCTTTCTAAACGCCCTGTTATCACATTCTAACCAGGCCCCTCAAAATTTTATACACCTCAATTCAATCTCCATTTTGCTTTCCCAGTTCTGATGAAGACAACCTCAGCAAATTGTCTTTACTCCTTACTAAAACACCCCATGTCTGGCTCCCTCCTCTTGTTTTCACATCTTTCTTCTGATGCAGCAATAAGTGCTGTACAAGGTGGCCTTATAGTGGTTTTAGACAGTTCTAGGACAACCTCTTTGGCTTCATATTCTACATCTCAGCCAATAAATGTATGCAATGAGCACACCTTACCCACCTGTCAACTCTTGGACATTTCTAATATTTTCAAACCCAGTCAAGAGGCTTGACTTTTTAAGCTGTGGTGAGATATTCTTCAATTCCAGAAGCTAGGGGTCTTTTTTCCCATTTCCATCAGCTGCTTGTAATTGCTGAACTATCTACTTGTGGGATATTTGTGAGCTTTAAAGTTTATATTCTCAGAATGTTTCAAATTCACATCCTTCATGTGTGATTGTAAGATACATGACGTGGATCTACCTTCTGCTAAATGCATCTGGAGCATCCTCCACACTTCCTGAAGTTTCTGTGTCTACATTGACATAGAATGGCCTTGTTCTTGCTAATTCCATCATCTGAGACAACTTTCAAAGTTGGAGAATTATTTGAAGTTTCACTTGCTTTCAGTAATGATTGCACTAGTATTAGTTTTTAGTTCCTGCTTCCTTGCAGTGGGATGGCCTTTTTACACAGGTAGCACCATTTCCATCTCACTATGGCTGCTGTAGCTACTGCTGAATTTCCTTGCAAGCTCTGTGAAATATGTAGACCACTTCTTCTTCACCTTCTCAATTAAAGGATGATTCTCCTCAAAAGGGACAATAGGGTCTTAACGGGGAAACCACTTGAATCCAAGGGTCTAGCAAGGTCTAAATTCTCAGCCTCCACTAAATATATGGCGTGAGTGGTGGGCTCCTTCTCTTTGACAGTATGTGAAAGAGCAAACCCCGGTTTTGAATACTGCTTGGTAGCTTCACCTTTGGTGCCATTTTCTCCCACCATTTTTAACTTCTCTTTTGAGGGGAATAAAAAATCTGTATTACCATTCGGTCATCAAGGGGAGGGACTTTCTACAGTGAAGGCTGCTTCAGTGCTCACTGAGTAAATTTCCATGACTTCCACACCTGCCAATCAAAGAAAGGTTAAAGCCACACAAACATTGTCAGTCAATAGAAAAATGTGGTGATTAGAAATGATGTACAGGGCTTCTATGTTTTCTCTTTCATTGTGAAGAAGTGTACTTTGTATTCACTCTCTCATTCCAATTTTGATAACCCCTTTTCCATAATGCTGAATGAAGGATTGTCTAGGAGTTCCTTTTCTTCGATCATGATGAAGCCTCTGAAAGAATCAAGACATCTGACCTGGTATCCAATTTAAAATTCATTTTCTTGTTATTAACCTGCGAATCTTGCAAGTTTGCAAAATCAGAGGAGCTGAAATCTTACAGTGGGTCTGTCACATCCCCAAGGAAGAGATTATCCTGCTCTTCTGCATCCTGGGAAACCACAAAGAGCTGTGAACAGTTTGTAATTTTCTGGATTTTTGCTGCAGCTCTGGCATGATCTTCCTCATAGAATATTTTTAAGGCAGAGGGAGATAGATTCTGGGTAAACATGCAAAATTGTCAGAGATAGCTGTGAATGTAGATTTGAAGTTACGATCATGGTCTTATTGAATGGTGGAGTGAGTTTGAGGGGCTGAATGGCCTACTCCTAATTGATAGATTCATAATGTACAGGTAGACCCTGGGCTGCGGACCAGGCTGTTTTGGAGTCCATTTGTAAGTCCATTTGTATGCAAGTCAGAACACAAACCAAGACAATGTAGGGCAGCTTTTCATGAGTACAGGAAATGTTCCCACGTCTGATCTTTAAAATTATA